AGAAACCAAACACTCGCAAATGTATGTCACGTGAAGTAAATTAATACTATACTATACTTTAGAAATACTCACAGCTGTAAGATACACAATCAGCTAAACTGTGAAGGCTGCAATTATTTCAGTTCTTTATGAACATTTAAAAAAAATACTTTTACACTAGGGCTGGGCGATTAATCGATTTTAATCATTAATTCGAGTTTTACGTTTAGGGCGATTTCTTTTTTTTTTAAATTCGATTTTTATTTTCTCCAGCGCAGAACTACAGCGCTAACGCGCTAACCGCGGGTCTATGGTGTTGAGCAGTCATTTTGAAGCTAACCTAATGCTAACAGTCTCCCTCTGGCCTGATGCTCGCTCTCACAGTTGGTGCTGTTGCAATAACACTTCAAACGTTCAAGAATCAGACTTTATTTAAATCGCCAGAACACACACACACAGGCTCCGGTCGCCATGTTCGTACGCCACATCTTTCACGCTCGTTATTCCAAAGTGCACTCCCGTGTCCGTGGCGCGCACACACTCGTGTCCCACTGAGCCGCTGCACTTTGGGGAAAGACACGTCTCACACATTGCTCTCATTGCTCTGATACAAACAACGTGTTCCCCGCTGTCTGTTAGCTACAGTAGCTGCTAGCTACAGTAGCTGCTAGCTACAGTAGCTGCTAGCTACAGTAGCTGCTAGCTACAGTAGCTGTTAGCTACAGTAGCTGTTAGCTACAGCATCAGAATGTAAACAGGAAGCTCGCACAATGCGAGAGTCACTGAAGTTAGTATTAGCGCCACCAGCTGGACCGAGCGTTGTACTACAGCACAGTTACTCAGGCACAGTTGAAAGAACAAGCATGAAAACCCGAGGAGGCTTTTGGAAAATACTGTCTGTTACAACATTTCTATTTTGAGTAATCAGTTTTAAAAATGTGATATTTCATGTAAATAATGCATGTGTTTAATAGGATTGATATATTTGCGATGGGCCTTGTTTGTGTGATTTAAGTTATTTTGAAGGTGCATAGTGTCATTGTAAGTGAAGTTATTATAAAACTGTTAAGCTACATTTTCACTGTTTACAATGGCAGAGCCATCTCGTTTACAAGCATGTTTTAAGGCTTAATTCCTGTTACACTTATGCTCCATGGGGATTTAGATTGAACTGCATAAAGGAAAATCTATTTCTTTTTCAGTTGTAGTTTGTTTTTAAATAGAAAAAAATAAATCGATTAAAATCGAAAATCGGATTTGGTGTGAAAAAATCGGAGATTTTATTTTTTTGCCATATCGCCCAGCCCTATTTTACACCAACAAATTTTGCTACAGACTTCTTTTTTTCATGTTTAAAAAGGTATAAGGGAGGATTTTCTACTTCCAAGTGGATCATCAAGACTATTAGTCCTCCCAATTGTCAATCATTCTGGTGATACATGCTCATTAAATAAGACCAGAGAGTTTTGTTCAAAAAGTGGAAAGGGCGGTTCTTTCCTAAAATTAAGGAAAATCCTCCTGAACATAGTTCACACATGACTTCACAAGTCACAGACCTGGAGTGGTTTTTAGATCCATCCGTTCTAATATCAGTACCTTCTGGCATACACAAGTAGCTCCGCCCCTTCTGTCTAAAAGCTTCCATCTTATGCTGCTTTCAGACCGCCAACGCTGAAACGTTGAAGCCTCGCTCACCAGACGCACATTCTCAAGTTTTCAGACGCAGGGGTCTTCAGACCAGAAGTCCTGGCACGCGCCGGAAGTGGCAGAAGTAGCCGGCGGGCTTTGATGCTTTGATGTTTAGCTAGTAAAGATCTCTCCAATAATGCAGCTTTGCAGCGTGTCTGTGGTCAGAAACCTTCCACAGACTTTATATAACAGCAGTATGTGTTCACGGAGGTGCGCAATAAGTTTATTTTATTATTAAACGGTACTTCCGCATCAGCGAACACACTTGAAGCAGCTGTATAAAGTCACAGGAACATGAAAACGCATATATTCACAAGCACTATGTCCCCCATTGTCAACCCTGGTTTAGTCCTGATGTAGCTCCTGTTTTGGCTGTTTACAGTATGTTCTGCCTGCTCGCTCAGACCGATAATGTCCCGTGACCACTTTGCGGCTCTCTGATTGGGTGCTGCACGATCGTCCCAAGGAAAGGTTGAGCAAAATTCATCTCCAGCAGTGAGTCTCTACTGAGCAGTCCGTGCGTGCATTCTGAGACGCTCGAGCGTTTTGACGCTCGAACGCGCGTCACCATTGACTTTGAATTGAAAGCCGACGCAACGCATGATCCGGTCTGAACGCGGCATGAGTCCCCGTACCATTATGACATCACACAGACGATAGAGGGGGAGACCAGAGAGAGGGAATCCATACCATATTTGGATGTTTTGGCATAAAATCACTTTATTGTTGTGTTTGACACATGAAACATAGGAGAATTTATGACGCCTTATATCTACTAAGTTATAAAACTAAAGCCAGGTGAGGACAAGTCATGAGGAAGTAACTAGCAATATTATCTACATTAATAAAGTTTGTATTATTTAAATTATTCGAGGAGTTGTTCCAAACGCCTCTTCAGCTTTTTCTGTGCAACAATGAGCTTAAGCCACTGAAGGACAGACTGTGATAAAATAGTTTTGTCTCCCAATATTATCAGTAAATTCAAACACATTTGTTTTATTTAGCGTGATTCCTGCTAGGTTTGAGTCTTTCACTAAAACACTAAATATGTGTGAGGAGGGGTCTCTTGTAGCTCAAAAACCTCTTCCAAGTTGCTCTCCAAGATTTTGAAAAAACAATTATATATATGTTATAAATGTACGTGTCTTACCAGGCACAGTTGAAGTGCTTGACACAACAAGGAAAATTACATTAAAAGCACACAAGGCATTAAAAGCCAAATCATAATCATAAGTAAAAGAGTGTAGATAGGATCATTCAGTTGTATGCATTGCACAGCAAACAGTTTTAATCTGGATTTTAACATTGTCAGAGTAAGAGTCTGTCTCACATTTTCAGGAAGATCTTTCCAGATTTGAGTTGCATAAATCTGAAATCTCAGTGTTTAGTCAAGAGATTATTATAGATAGATAGAGAAAGACCTCCTCATGTGCCTGGCCTAGTTTTTAAACACTACTGCAGTTACTTTATGGCTGTAAGATATCAAAAGGCAACCGCTGATCATTATCATCAATGCCAAACGTGGACAAGAGCAGTGAAACCAAACATAAATCCAAGTCAAAACACAGTCCAACAAGGAGCACAGAATTTGGAGGCAGCCTTACCTGTGATGATCTCCCGCTTGGCTTCATCCAGGTGGGTGGAAACCACGTCCCCCATGTTTTCTCTCAAGTAAAAAGTCTAATCCAGTCGCACAATCCACACGCGGCTACCAGGACACTCACAGGAAGCACATACCCGGGGAAAGCGATCTGAGCCCGGGGAAGCAGGAGCAGAGTCTGCCGTGAAGTTGTAGCGGATGGAGAGTGCTGAAAGAGTGGGGAGAGTTTGGAGAGTGGAGAAAGCTGAAGGCACAAAGTTTGGTGAAGTGTGATCCACGGGAGTTGGGCACACCCTCCTTTAAAAGCACAACTCCACCTTCGGCCGAGACGCGTTCACGTGCAGCGGGAAAGAGCAGTACTAACTTCTAATGTATTTGTGTAGAGCTAGCCTTATAGACAGACAGGCTGTAGAACCAGGACTGATGCTGTAGATCTTATTCATTCCGAGACAAACAATGCCGATAAGACCACGCTCAGACCGGGAGTCAAACATCCAGTCAGTATCGGGTTCATCTCTCTCTCTGTCTCTGTCTCTGTCTGTCTCTGTCTCGTCTCTCGTCTCTCATACATGTATTATTGACCTAAATCCCATCTTTAGATCAGCTTCTTAAACTGAAAAGTGAGAAGAGAGGACCACCCTGACTCAGCAAATCAGCTCTATTCCCAAAGACTCAAACTGTGACGTCCATGCAGGGCTCTGTCCTAAAAGTATCCACATACAAAGATATTCAGAACAGCATGGTCTGGTCTTATTTGTTTACAGAACTTAACTTTTACAAGACCCTTTCTGTTTGACAAACATCATTCATCACAACATCTGGAACGAAGTCTCTGATGAACCATAGACTGATGAACTCAGCCTAGTATAGTCGCGTGGCGCGGAGCATACGGCGGTGACGTGACGTCACTTGCTCAACGCAAGGATCACAGCAAGACCCTTGCGTAGCCCGCCGCGCACCCTCGAAAATGTCTACGCAGTCGGCGCCGCAGAAAAGCTCCACTGTGATTGGTCCGTGTGTGATTACTTTCTGGAGCGGCTGCAGGGAACATAGATGACGAGGCACTTCGCGCTTCGAAGGAACCGAGGATTCATGGCAGAGCCTGATATACGCAGAGCCCGTGGACTAGAGTTCTGTTGCATTTCCAACATATATATATAACTTATAAACTGTGAAGTCCTCCTGCACTTGTAAATAGTTTGTGTTTGTCTCAGATATTTACCACTTATTGTTTTGCAGTTTATGCTGAATATACTTTAATGAAAACTGTATGTTTCCACCAAGAACTGTATCTTTATTCACATTACATCACAGTCTCGGCAGAAGGCAACTCCTGTGAGTTCGCCATCACGTGGTTGTGTGTGGGATTACAAAATTCTCTTCAAAACTACGCAGGTGGGTGCGCTCGAGTGTACGCAACTGTGGCTACGTAGGTCGAGCGCAACCGCAAACGTTACCAGCGCCGCACGAGTGTCCTGATCGTGACATTTTGCGCCACTTTCATTTACTGGACTGAAACATTGAGTGTCTGCTGCTTTCTAGTGGCTGCAAGGATGAACCACAACATCCCCATTCGAATCAGAGATTGACATTGGGAAATAGTGCACGAATATGTGCAAGTGTGATAAAAGAAAATTGAAATAATGTTTGAAATTTAGTATCATAAAATATATTTCAAACATAGTTATATGTCAGCCCCTTTATTTTGAAGTTTAACCCCGGCCTGTAGAGGATGTGCAGGGGGGGGGGTGGGGGTGGGGGGGAGTTGCGAGAGGGCAGTTCTGTGATTGATCGCTCACTACAGGTCAGTGAGCGCTGGGAGCTGGACACGGGTGTATCATCCTCATCATCATCATCATGGCTCCACTCGGACTCAAGGCCATCGTGTGCGAGAGTGAGTCCTTTTCAACTAATTCACTGTTTGTAAACTTCATCATCAGTATTGAATATTTATGTGAACGTATTGATCTCGTATCTATCTTAACTTAACGGTTTTAGTTTCTTGTGCCAGAGCCGTTATGGAGTGATTAATCCAAAGTGAGTGAATTGGCAAAAATGCGTAAAAGTGCATGGCCCCGCGGGATTCAAACCCACGCTCCCATTCCTCATCTCCATTACTTTGAACTGCCAGTGTATGTAGAGCACATATGCAGCATATATTTCAGTGTATTTCAGCAGTGTTTTTATTCTCGTGGTTGAATATTCTCTCCACATTTGTGGTGATTTGGAGCGAGCCGGTGCGCGTAAATCCTGTCCTCGCTAATCTGTGTCTGTTCGGATTAAGTTCTTTGGTCTGCGTGGTTCTCAGGGGGAATGAGGCTGTCACTGACACACGCCCTACATTTATGACAGAAAACCTCTCATCTGTTTGTGTTTCTATTCCTACAATTATTTAAAAACAGCAACAAGTTTACAGACAACATACGAATTAAGAGGACATGAAAGGACACTAAGCTATGGTCCTAATGAGTCATGATGTATCTCAGTCTTGGATCTACAGTACAGCCTCAGTCCTGGATCTACGGCCTCTCTGTCTGGAACGGATCCCTCACTCCATGTGGGCCTCAATTTATTCTTTTTTACTCCCTATGGACCAATGGCTCCAATCTGTTTGTTATTATTGCATATTCAGGTGATACACAAATGCATTGAATTAAAATTTGAAAAAATTTAGGCGCCTTCACATTTTAGTCCCATCTTAAACATAATTGATTCACTGAAAGTAGACTGTGGTTCATTTAGGATTTATGGCCCAGCGGAACCCCCAGAACGTGCCAAATGGACTTTTGCCCAGTTTCCACCAGCCGCCCATTCTATACTCTACTTTACTCCAATGTACTCTACTTTAGTGTACGGTTATGTTTCCATTGCGCTTTAGTTTCTGGTACCATATTCTTGCAAATTACCCAACAAACCAGTATCTGGGGAAATTCCTTGGTAATGATGGCTTCCAGCACACTGGCCAACCAGGGTCAGTAACACTTTAAAACCAGCTCGGCCTGGATAGAATCAGGGCCAAGAGGGACTAAAGAAGGACCTGGTACTGGTTAAACAGGACCAGTGTACCCCCTCAGAAAATACTTGTCTCTCCAAGTACCACCACAATGACCAACACTAAACAGTAGCGTAGTAAGCCTAAGTATACATCAAAAACAAGGCAGGGGTTTAATTCCTAAAGAAGTATATTTAATATAACATTTTACACAGTTTCAACAGTAAGATACAAAATATAGGGAAAAAAACTGTACTTAAATAATGATTCAATTAAAATGTTCAATTCATTGCGAACTGCAAAGCCTCACTGTGAGTGATATTCTGGAGTGGGATCTTTGTCCACAGAAAGTTTGGACACTGGTGCACTTTAGTTTCTAAAGCTTGGTCTGCTGCCCTCTTACATCTGCCATTTACTCACACAGAGATAGGTTCATATGGTTTGGATCAAATTATCTTTTGTTGCTCTCTTCCTTTTGCACAGAACTGGGAAAAAAAGCTTTTGTACATGCTTTTGTATATGTACTTATTTCCTTGAATGCTTTTAGATCCAGATTGAGAGACTGAGACGTCCTCATTGAAATGTAACTGTTTTTATAATCCGTAATTGTATGAAATTGTGTGTGACTGTTTCATAATCTGTATGTGACTGTTTTATAATCTGTAATTGTATGTAATTTTTGTACACAACTGAAAAAGAGGTTCTCATTGACTGCCAGCTATTCTTGATGACTTCACTGATGACTTCACTGTGCTATGACTATGAATAATATGAAATCAGAGTCTGTAAGACAGGACTGTCTACTTTCAGCAGCAAAAATAGGTTTGTTTTTAGCTTGTTTCGTTCTCCTGTGATCTCCAGTTGAAAAGAGAGGGGAGTGTGACAAAAAGCACCAGTCTTAGACAAAAAGCTGAGAATATGAAAAGAGACGAACCTGCTGAAAAGTGACTGTGACACTATTTAATTTAACTTTGGCATCTCCTCAAACATGTCCAGTATCTTACATGTTAGAAAACAGCAACAAGTTATGAGAAAGTGTTTTTGATGAAAAATAATACGTTTTATGGCACACACACCCACATCCACAAAGTGTTGCTCAAATATTTCAAAATGTACTCATCCAAAAAATGTCAAAATGTACATATTGAAAGTAGAGCCCATTACAGACTCTGGCAGAAAGAATGGCCAGTATTCATCCATTAGGTGGTGCTATATTTACGTCGTCAAGAGTAAATCAGAGATAAGCAAAATAACAATGATAAACACTATAAATGACAATAAATCAAAGTGAATACACAATATACTGTACATAAGTGCAATAGAATACTGTTGTGTGTCTTTGTGTGTTTGGGCGCGCAAATATATGCGTTTATGCACGCGTTTGTGTGTGTTTGTGTGGTTACATCTACAGAGTGTCGTTCTGTTTAGTCCAGCGAGCGCTGTGACCATAACTGGACTTTGCCGCTGGCTCCTTGTGCGGACTCAGTGATAGTTTTAGCAATAGTCCACTTTTCTGTGGCTTTTTTGGGGTGCACCGCTGGTCTGCTGTCCTGACCCTCCACATGGTCTGCTGCTCTGACCCTTCACATGGTCTGCTGCCCTGACCCTCCACATGGTCTGCTGCTCTGAGCCTCCACGTGGTCTGCTGCCCTGACCCTCCACATGGTCTCTGTCAGTTCTGGAGACACATTTACTGGTCAAACGGCCTCCAAATGTAGCCTGACCCTGACTATATTACTCCATGTCTGCTTCACCTCTGTTTCTCCTGCTCAGAGTGCTCAGGCAGTGATCTTTGACCTATCCAGGGAGTTCTGCTGCCACCTGCTGGCTTAATAAAATATTGTCTACAGCCAAACCCCAGACTGTATGATACAGGGGACACAGACTGACAGGAAAAAATTTAGTTGAAAAACAATGTTGATGTCAATTGACATCAATGGCTGTCAATAAGTTAATCTCAATGGGACTTTCCTGGTTAAAAAAAAAAAAAAATCCTTTATTTTTTTTTATTATTTTTTTTACAGTGATTCTTTGGCGTACCCCTAGAGGGCGCCCGGGTACGCGTACCCCAGTTTGAGAAACACTGGTGTAGAGAGTAGAGTATGGAATAGTAGCGCAGAGTATAGTAGAGTCGAGTTAGCTTCTGTCTCTTAGCTTGCCTGAGAACGCCTCAGAATTCTCCTGTGAGGTGGGCGTAGAGGGACCCCTGGGCATCTCTGCTCAGACTGTTGCCCTGCAACACGGCAACGGATAAAGCAGAAGAAAATGAATTTATCAAAATATATACGTACTGGGTGCATATGAGTCTGATGAGCTCCACATTAGCATCTGTGAACACATGGGGCATTTAAAAGCTTAGATATTTGACTGCAATGGACATTTATGCAATAGATGCTTTTATATTTTAGAGTGTATAGCAGTGTTCCTTATTTGAATTGAACGTAATCAGACTGCTGAAACTTATATAGACATGAAACTCTGCAGACTTTATCAATTCAATGTATTTATGTATTGTCCTAAATCACAACAGCAGTTGTCTTAGAGGACTTCAAAAACTTGTTGATTCGCCAACAACAGATCAGCAAATCAAATAGTTTGAACACAGGAAATGCAATAATAATACATTCAGGAGACATTGGTCCTGGGAGGGAGCAGGATGACCTCTGTCCAGAAATGTTTGTAAATGTCCATAAATGTTCTGGATAATCACTGTCCTTGGACCATCCTGCATCTGAAAGAAACCACTTAAAAACCCAGTGCAACAAATGTGAATCCTCAGAGAGGCCAATGCTGAGATAGAGATCCACTCTCACGAACGGAGAGGCAAAGGCTGTTAATCCAGGAGTAATAGGGAAAACCTCTTTGACTCATGTTTTGATAGAAATTAATATTATTATTATTGCGCCACTTGCAGGTGGATGCAGAGCTCCGGGGATAAGCAGGACAGGACCTAGATTGTATGGTGATGGGAGACCTCTAGCCAGCTGTGGGTGTCAAGTGCCTAATTCTTGCATTGCTTTGCTTCCGTTCAATCTGCCGCAGGGCAGGTATGGCAGTTGTAGTTGTGTACAAGTGATGAGTGAAGCACCTTTGGGTGTCCTGAAAAGTGCTGTATACTTTGAGTAGTCTGCATTATCATTAGAGAAGCTGCCAATGTTTGTGGCTGAGTGGTTAGCACTCTCACTTCTCAGCAAGATACGATATCCAATACTAATTTTTCGGTTATGGCCGATGACCGATATTTGCCAATATCAATATGTGTTTTTTTTTATTTATTCTGAGATCATAAAAGTTTGTACATACTGAATTTCTTCCTCTTTTTTAAACAATGTATTTTATTTCCACATACCAAGGTAACTGTTGTGGTGTGGACTTTTTTCCTGGTTTTATTTTTATATATTGGTTCTTCAGTGTGGTACATGTCTGTTCTGTTAATTGCCTGTAAAATTGTGTTAACCATGTACCACACAAAAATACTGCATTGTATCTATGAAAGTCAGTGAAGTGAAGACTGGGCAGGGCAGGCTAATGCCAATGCTGACGTATTTCTTCCGTTCCTTTTTAGGATTTTTTCCTAAAAATGGACACCCGTTCAAGATTTTTTATTCTAACCAAAATAGAGTCTCCATAAGTTCTCCACTTGATACGAGCAGTTGCCACAGAAAAAATCAGTGAATATTTACATGGAGATTTACTCTCTGGAGTGGGATCTTTGTCCTCTCTCTGGTCTCTCTGTCTGGTCTTTCTCCCTCTGGTTTCTTTATAGTCTCTCTATCAGGTTCTCATACTGGTCACTCTCTCTGGTCTCTCTTTCTGGTCTCTCTTTCTGGTTTCTCTCTAGTCCCTCTTAAAAGGTTCTAAGCTTTATACAGAGTATAGCGTGTATACTGGTGGAAAGTGTAAGTGGAAACCAGAGAGAGACCAGAGATAGAGACCAGCAAGAGAGACCAGCGAGACAGACCAGCGAGATAGACCAGAAAGAGAATCAGATAGAGAGACCGCAAAGAGACCAGAGGGAGAAAGACCTGACAGGGATACCAGAGAGAGAGACCAGAGAGACACAAGAGTGAGAGGGACCAGAGAGAGAGACATGTGTGCCTAAAATCTGTGACCATTCTATATGCACCCTCCTCTCGCTGTCCCACACTGTGTATTTACTCAAAAACCCCTCATCAGAGCTCGACCCTCACCCTCTGCTCCATCATGTCATGTTTGTTTATCCACTATGTCACTTCCGGTTCCACAGAATGCCCCAGAAATAGCGTGGCGTGGAGCGAGTAAGAGGATTTAGAGGATTAGAGCCGGGTTATTGCGTTGGACAGTGGAGTCGGTTGGGCTTAGAAAAGTGGGACAATAGTCATCCACACATCATGGAGGAGACACATGTTTTGAATGTTTTATGAATGAAAACTAATTATTATGACTTATGTAAGCGAAGAGCTAGCATGCTTTGTCGGTCAGTGTGTCTGTCTCAAGCCCCTGGTCTCTCCAAATTATGTGTCGATTCAGATCAATGACCTGGCCTCATTTGCTCATGCTCGGATCACCATTGAAAGACCAGAGGGGGACCACAGAAACTAGAGAGAGACCAAAAAAAGAGACACCAGAGAGAGACACCAGAGAGACACCAGAGAGAGACACCAGAGAGAGACACCAGAGAGAGACACCAGAGAGAGACACCAGAGAGAGACACCAGAGAGAGACACCAGAGAGAGACACCAGAGAGAGACACCAGAGAGAGACACCAGAGAGAGACACCAGAGAGAGACACCAGAGAGAAACACCAGAGAGCGGGACCAGAGAGCGGGACCAGAGAGCGGGACCAGAGAGCGGGACCAGAGAGCGGGACCAGAGAGCGGGACCAGAGAGCGGGACCAGAGAGCGGGACCAGAGAGCGGGACCAGAGAGCGGGACCAGAGAGCGGGACCAGAGAGCGGGACCAGAGAGCGGGACCAGAGAGCGGGACCAGAGAGCGGGACCAGAGAGCGGGACCAGAGTTTGTTGACTTACACTTACACTCTGCCTTTTATGTTCTATCTTACAGAAATTATGAACGATGTCATCAAGAAAGCACGGGAGAAAGGCAAATGGAAAGTAAGAGTAAGAGGCCTCTGCAGAAGCCTTGATGTCACAGTAACACAGTACAGAGAGAAAGACCAGAGAGAGAGACCAGAGAGAGAGACCAGAGAGAGAGACCAGAGAGAGAGACCAGAGAGAGAGACCAGAGGGAGAGACCAGAGGGAGAGACCAGAGGGAGAGACCAGAGGGAGAGACCAGAGGGAGAGACCAGAGGGAGAGACCAGAGGGAAGCAAGAGAGACAAGAGATAGAGACCAGAAGGAGAGAGACGAGACAGAGACCAGTGGGAGAGATACCAGAGAGAGACAGAGGGAGAGAGACCAGAGAGAGAGACCAGAGGGAAAGAGACCATAGAGAGAGACTGAGAGAGACAGTAAGAGACCAGAGAGAGACCAGAGGGAGAAGCCTCGATGTCACAGTAACACAGTAACCATCCCCCATGTTTCAGGTGCTGGTTGTGGACAAACTTAGCATGCGCATGGTGTCGTCCTGCTGTAAGATGACCGACATCATGTCCGAGGGCATCACCAGTGAGTCACATGTCATTCACAAACACGTCATGACAAATAAGAGCTTTGTAAGTGACCACTGTGCTCTTCAGTCGTAGAAGACATCACCAAGAAGCGAGAGCCTCTGCCGACCATGGAGGCCATCTACCTGATCACCCCGTCTGACGAGGTGAGGCCAGGACCATTACCAAAAACTCACTTTTCTCCATTTCTGCTTTATTGGGGTCTGGGTGTCTTCAATTAAGACATCCTTTATTTGTCCCACAATGGGGAAACTTCAGTGTTGCATCTCAGAATCAGAATCAGAATCATTTTTATTGCCACGTAAGTAACAGGAGGTCACAGACTTGGAAATTGCTTTGGCTCAGTGCAACAGTCAGAAAGAGATAATAAAAATAAGAATAAAAAACACTTCTAAAGAATAAATTTACATTTAAAATAGAGTTACAGTTACTATTTACAATATACAAGTGCACATGGTGCACACAATGTAAGGTGACAGTAGTACAGTGAAGTAAAGTGACGTATGATGGGCAGTAAAGTGACTTTATAAAGGGCGGGGGGACAGGTTAAGAATTGTTCAAGAGTCCAACAGCAGAGGGGAAGAAACTGTTCTTGTGGCGGGAGGTTCTAGTCCTGATGGACCGCAGCCTCCTGCCTGAGGGGAGTGGTTGGAATAGTCCATGTGCAGGGTGAGAGGGGTCGGCTGTGATACAGGTTACAGTTGGAATGAGCTATAACTCTATACTAAAATAAAATACATTCTCTAACTTTAGCATAACAAAGAAGCAAGTATAAAATCTCAAGCTTTATGATAAGGGGTATGAGAAAACAGTGCACAGATCTACCAGAGATGATAATTTTGTATTCTGTAATTCTGATTCTGATATTTTGTAAGTCTGAGTCTGGATTTGTACAGGGGAAGAGAGTCGCTGTTTCGGGGGTCAGGGGGGGTGAGTTTCAAAGCTGGGGAGCATAATGGCTGAATGCCCTCCCCCCCAATAGTGACCCTCAGGGCTCTACAAGTATGCAAAATAGTACACGTTTTCTAATAAGTCACTCAAGGCTGATGCATGCGGTTGAAGGCCTTGAGGTCATTTGACAAGCATTTTACAAGCATTTTATTCAGAACAAGTTAAATAGAACAGATTGGATTCAATCAAGATCAGTGCAAGAGCATAAGAACAGAATCAAAGGGTTCTAGAGGCGGCCAAAAAAAGATCATTCAGCAGTCAGCCCTGTACAGGGACCTGCAAAGCACTGTTCTTCTATCCAAAGTGACCATGGATTATCAGGCCCTACGCAGACTGCAGTGAGAGAAGAAGGCCATAGAGAAGGCTGATAGGACCACTGTGTCCACCCAGGAAGACCACCAAGTTTTCTGATAAGATGGAGACAGCCTATTGTGGTCTGATTTGTTCACACTACTTGACTTATACAAAACTCTTTCTATTATAATCCAGACTGCAACAGCAGCTATATAATGTGTGGCATTGCTGTGATAAAACTATTTGTTCTCAAACTCTTGCAGTCGGTGGACGCTCTCATCGATGACTTCAGAGACCCACGGAACCCAAACTACAAAGCAGCACACGTCTTCTTTACGGACAGTAAGTAGAAATGATAAAATTATATTGAAAATAATACATTAAAACATATGTAAACTACAGAAAGAGACACAATCATGAAATGTAAAGCAAATCATAGGAGCCAGAGCGAGTTGGAGCAAAACGTTGTCCTTCTTTATGAAGTCTATGTTTGAATTGTCCCTCTGATTCTGGGTCTCGAAACGCCCCGAAACGGGAATTGTTGTTGTTATTATTATTACTGTTGTTGTATATATATATATATATATATATATATTATTTATTTTCTTTCCTTCCTGTCTTCCTACATCTGTCTTGAGCCACATTCACTCTAATCCACACACACCCACTCACACACATATACACGCACGTACGATTGTTTTTTCTTTCTCTTGTTGGTATCATTGTCCTCTCTATCTCCCCTCTTTGTATAGATCCTCCACTTACATTGTTAATATCAATTATCAATATAATGTGATCATCTATGTCAGGCATGTCAAAGTCAAATACATCAGAGGGCCAAAAAAACAAATTTGCTGCGAGCCGAGGGCCGGACTGGTTCAATGTTTATTAACTCATTGCCTGCCAGCCTATTTCAGAACAGGTACTCACATATTGCCAGCAGTTTCTGATGATTTTTATAGATTTTTCAAGACCCACAGAATATTGTGTACTATGACCATCTGAAATCCGAAACCAGATTCTGAAAGAATAGTCTGTCTACTTTCATCAGCAAAAATAATTTTGTTTCTAGCTTGTTTCATTCCCCTGTAATCCCCAGTTGAGTAGAGGGAAGTTTTACTGAAATCACCAAAAAGCTGAGAAAAAAGAGGCACAACAAGGGCATCTAGCTGTTTTCAAACCATTCAGAGAGCGCTGCTGCCACCTGCTGGCTCGATTCAATATGCTCTCAAGCTTATCCCCAAACATATTAGATATAATAGACATCTGGGAACATGAAAATAGCAGAAAACGCAATTGACGTAATAGTGCGTCAATGGCAGGCAACAGGCCATGTAAAATTCATTCTGGGCCTTGACTTTGACACATGTGATCTATGTGAATATTCGCACTGTTGTTTGTTTCAAGACTTTTCGATCAATAGAAGTCAGGACCTTTTTAATCTTGGAATTGATGCACACATGAAAGCAGCAGAAATTAGTTTTTGTTGTTTTCAGCTTTATATACTCAGTAAACACTTTTTTATCCTGTGTTCCACAGCCATCCCAGACTCACTGTTCGGCCTGCTCACAAAGTCTCGCGCCTCCAAAGCCATGAAGGCCTTGACCGAGCTCCACGTGGCCTTCCTGCCCTACGAGTCACAGGTAAAGACTTCCCCTGAGTCCAAGAATGTTGTGTGATGCACTCATTCAATTAATTTTGAATGGTTAAATGTATTTCACCAATCTTCTACCCATTTGGTTCAGAATCATGTAAATATTTAATTAAGTAAAACAAATATTTGAATCAAAACAAACAATTGATTTATCTTGTAAAAAGTGTTCACTGCAAATTTGGGAGTACTTTGATGGCTCCCAGTCCTTTTGGTTGATTGCTGCCATCGTCGTCTTCTGTCTTAATCAAAAAGCAGGAATCAGATGAAAAGACACATTTGTTTATGTCCTTGCCTGTTAGTACAACCAACCACGCTGCAAAATATCACAGTTTTGACTGTTATTCAGTGAAACAAGTTGTTTTGGTAAAGTTTCCAAAGGCTCGCAGTTAGACTTCTGCTGTCTGTCATGGAGATTGGGCATGGCCTGGACGTCACATGCAAGGGGTCAATAGGCTTAATAAATTGGCAGCTGTAGGGGACGCTGTTCTGGCATTTTTTTTAATCCCATAAAAATAAAGTTTTCATGCATGTTCAGGGTGTCAAATTAAGACTCAAAGTGCAGCGGAAAAAATAAATAATAAGGAATTTAGCAAATCTTTCTCTCAAGCAAAAACAATTTAGGTTTCAATGGGGCTTTGATGCTAACAGAGTTAAGCTAGCGGCTTATTGTGTAAATTTCTTCTCCAATAATGCAGCTTTGAAGCATGTCTGTGTTCAGAAACCTTCCACAGACTTTATATAAAAGTAGTATGTGTTCACGGAGGTTCGGCGAACACACTCGAAGCAGTTGCATAAAGTCACGGGAGCATGAAAACGCATATGTTCACAAGCACTATGTTCCCCATTGTCAACCCTGGTTTAGTCCTGGTGTAGCTCCTGTTTTGACTGTTTACAGTATGTTCAGTCTGCTCGCTCGCTTTGCGGCTCTCTGATTGGTCGCTGCACGAACGTCCGAGGAAACGTTCAGCAATGTTTATCTCCAGCGTGCGTCGATTTTCCGCTCCTGCACCTCCCCTTCGACTTTGCCGCGCAGTCCGTGCGTCTATACTGAGCAGTCCGTGCGTGCATTCCGAGACGCCATATACCATCTGACCACTCTGCCAATGGGAATGTGTATGCATGGGGACATCCTAACTAATTCATCTGTACTGTCTGACTCAACTTTTTGACTGTTGTATAAACATTTGATGCCTGTACTGCCCTGAATATCTCCTGAACCCGATTGACCTATCAGCGGTCGAGAATGTGTTTATGCAGATGAGATCCATGCAAGCCACGCCCCCAAGGACGCGGTCTCTTAAGCCAAAGCAGAGACGCGAGTCGCTCTCTTGCCTTCTTCTCCTCCTTTGGGACTTTTCCTGCTCCTGTTTTGGCCCACACGTAAGCTGGACTTTGCGTGCCTTTCTGCGGCCTTCCCTTCCCCTGTCCCTAAGCTCCAAGTGCCCGGACCCAGACGGCACCCGGGAACTACCAGCCGCGGACTCTACGTGTCCAAATGGACTTCCTCCCGACCACCCAAAGGCTGTGGATGCGAGCTACGTGGACATACGCAGACACACGGTGGACTTTTGGGCTTCTCAAACCAAGGATTTGAGACAATAACCACATAGCGGATCCGGCAGGCAACCAACACCGGCGCCTCTCCGTTCCTCTCTCCAAAATCCACCAGAGACCGTGGGAGCCACGGACTCCAACGGGACGCTGTAAGAGGACCATGTGTGTGTCCCAAACAACGACACAGAGGGACTAGAACGTCGAATAGTAAGACCCTTTGGGGAGCTTTTGTTTGTGCATAAATGTCCGTGTGATCCGATGTGACTTTTGATTCTTGGACTGGACCCCCAAATCCACCTGGTTCCATAACAGTGTGTATTGTCCTGTACCTAAACTTGCCTTTAAGTCAATAAACCACAGTTTTTTCTGAGTTTATGCTACGTTATTATTATTTTACAGAAAATAATTCACTGAATAGGTTAAAGGATTCACTCCCTTTTAGATTATATTAGACTGTAACAACACATTTTACTTAGATCTTTATATCTTTATTAGATTGGTGCCCTAAGGTAAGGGCACCAAAGGGCACCACCTTTGAATTAGATCTAAGTAAACTCACCCTATAGAATTAAACACATATCTGTGAGAGCAGACATTAAGATTATTCTACTCATTTAATTTTTAAAGCCATCGTAGGATAGTTAATCCTCCATTGGTTGGTGGGAAATATTTTCATATCCTACAAGGAGAAGGAGAGACAGGTCCAGAATCAGAATCAGAATCAGAATCATTTTTATTGCCACGTAAGTAACAGGAGGTCACAGACTAGGAAATTGCTTTGGCTCAGTGCAACAGTCAAAAAGAGATAATAAAAATAAGAATAAAAAACACTTCTAAAGAATAAATTTAAATTTAAAATAGAGTTACAGTTACTATTTACAATATACAAGTGCACATGGTGCACACAATGTAAGGTGACAGCAGTACAGTGAAGTAAAGTGACGTATGATGGGCAGTAAAGTGACTTTATAAAGGGCGGGGGGACAGGTTAAGAAGTGTTCAAGAGTCCAACAGCAGAGGGGAAGAAACTGTTCTTGTGGCGGGAGGTTCTAGTCCTGATGGACCGCAGCCTCCTGCCTGAGGGGAGTGGTTGGAATAGTCCATGTGCAGGGTGAGAGGGGTCGGCTGTGATACGACCAGCCCGGCCTCGAGCTCGGGCGACGTACAGGTCCTGCAGCGATGGAAGGCTGCGGCCGATCACTTCCTCTGCAGAGCGCACAATGCGCTGTAGTCTCTGTTTGTCCCTGACTGTGGCTCCAGCGAACCACACGGTGACGGAGGAGGTGAGGATGGACTCGATGATGGCCGTGTAGAACTGCACCAACATCTGTGCAGGCAGCTTGGCTTTCCTGAGCTGCCGCAGGAAGTACATCCTCTGCTGGGCCTTCTTGATGAGGGAGCTGATGGTCGGCTCCCACTTGAGGTCTTGGGTGATGGTGGTGCCCAGGAAACGGAAGGACTCCACAGAGGTGATGGGGGAGTCCATCACGGAGGGTGGGGGCGGGGGGACAGTGCTCTTCCTGAAGTCCACAATCATCTCCACTGTCTTCTGGGCGTTCAGCTCTAGGTTGTTACCACTGCACCAGGACACCAGCCGGTCCACCTCCCTCCTGTAGGCGGACTCATCGTTGTTGGAGATGAGTCCAATGAGGGTGGTGTCGTCCGCGAACTTGATCAGCTTCACGGAGTCGTGGCTGGAGGTGCAGTGGTTGGTGTGCAGGGGAGAAAGAACACAGCCCTGTGGGGCTCCTGTATTTATAATCCGAGAGTCCGAGACATTCTTCCCCAGACGCACTCGCTGCTTCCTGTCCGTCAGGAAGTCAGTGATCCACCTGCAGGTGGAATCGGGCACGTTGAGCTGGGAGAGCTTGTCCTGGAGCAGGGATGGCAGGATTGTGTTGAAGGCAGAGCTGAAGTCCACGAACAGGACCCTGGCGTAGGTCCCCGGGGAGTCCAGGTGCTGTAGGATGTGGTGGAGGGCCAGGTTAATGGCGTCGTCTACAGATCTGTTGGCTCTGTAGGCGAACTGCAGGGGGTCCAGGAGGGGGGAGGTGAGGGACTTGAGATGGGAGAGAACCAGGCGTTCAAATGACTTCATGACAACAGACGTAAGTGCTACAGGTCTGTAGTCATTGAGTCCTGTGATCCTGGGCTTCTTCGGGACGGGGACAATGATGGAGGATTTGAAGCAGGCCGGGACATGGCAGGACTGCAGAGAGGTGTTGAAAATGTCCGTGAATACAGGAGTAAGCTCACTGGCGCAGTGTCTCAGAGTGGCCGGAGACACGTGGTCCGGGCCAGGAGCTTTGCGGGGGTGCAGCCTCAAGAAGAGTTGTTTAATCTCTTTAGCGGCTATTGTTAGGCTGGGGGCAGGGCTGATGGGTGGGTCGTTAGAGTAGTGGGGGGTGGGGGAGGGAGAGGTGTCAGGGGCATTACAGGAGCAAAAATAAGTTCAGTTCGTCAGCTAGCTTGTGGTCGTCAGCACAGGGGGGGGCTTTGGGTTTGTAGTTGGTGATCTCCCGTAGGCCCCTCCAGACAGAAGCAGTATCGTTGTTACCAAACTGCTCCTGTAGTCGTTCTCTGTGCCGGGACTTGGCTGCTTTCAGTTCTTTCCTGAACTGATATTTAGCTGCTTTGTAGCCGCTGCGGTCCCCCTCCCTGAAAGCAGACTCCTTTGCTTTCCTGAGCTGCCGGAGTTTAGCAGTGAACCAGGGTTTGTCATTGTTATAGATGACCCTGGTCCTTGTTGGAATGATGCTATCCTCGCAGAAGTGAATGTATGACGTCACAGTGTCCGTATATTCATCCAAACTATCTGTGGCAGCTCTGAAAAGGTCCCAGTCTGTAGATTCCATGCATGCGCGCAGCTCTTCCACAGCTTCATCAGACCACACTTTGGAGCTCCTCACTGCAGGTTTCGAGAGCTTTAGTCTCTGTCTGTAAGCAGGAACCAGATGTATCATGGAGTGATCTGAGAAGCCGAGGGCTGGCTTGGGAACAGCGCGAAAAGCTCCGCGCACGGTGGTGTAACAGTGATCCAGAGTGTTCTCCTCTCTGGTCGGGCATTTGATAAACTGTCTGTATTTGGGTAATTCCTGGCTCAAGTTTCCCTTATTAAAATCCCCCAGGATAATAATCAGAGAGTCCGGGTATAAACGTTCCATACACAGTACTTGCTCTGCGAGTGCGCGCTGAGCCTCGCGCGCGTCCGCGCATGGCGGTATGTAAACAGAGGCAACAATTTCACGAGGGGAGTAATATGGTTTACAATGAATGAAAAGATATTCCAGAGCAGGAGAGCAGTGCTTGGAGATCACTGTCACATCGTTACACCAGTTTGTATTGACGTAGAAACACAGCCCACCGCCTCTGCTCTTCCCTGAGATCGCACAATGGCGATCCGCGCGGAACAGCCCAAAACCCTGCAGCTCCAGA